AAATCAAAACAGCCATTTGTTCGTTCTATGCTTTGTATATTTGTTCCTCGGGGGTTGCACACGCATTATATATTATTTTCATGTCCACGATGTCCACGCGATGGTCGACAATATTGCACGTCATATTTCATAAAAAATTAATTCACCGAAACTCTACAAATTATATTCATCGCATGCAGTAAAGCAGTGAATACCTTTAGCTTCTCATCAGGCGAAACGATAATAATATTTATGCTCATCATGTTGTTGTGTTTCCACAATAATATTATATGTTGGGCGAATAGAAAAAAAGGGGAAAAAGTCTCATTTTTGTAACAAGAAAAAGGATTTTTACTGAAATAATAATATTAATCAAAAAATTAAAAATTGAAATAGCGAAATATGACTAGGACGCCGCAGCGCAGAAAGGCTTAACTCCTTTACACCTGCTACGGTCTAAGGACCTATTTATAGTATCTATGCAACACCATATTGCTTAGTGCTGTAATACTTGAATAGGTATAAGCAATTATTATCGGTTGATTTTTTTCCATACGTGTAACATTTTTTTTTTTATAGAATAAATTAACTGAGACGATTTAACGAGTGGGAGCGCAATAATGACCGGTCTGCGGGTCCAGTGGTTCTCAAACAATGACACACATATTTATGCATTACTATATATTTTATCGTTGTAGAGGTTCCGGCGCAACGAAATTTCATCGCGACACACGATCCTTAAAAAATCGAATTCCGATTATATTTTATTATAACTATTTATGTCGTTTGTCGTATAAATATTTTATGCCTGAATATACGTAATATATGCGGTACACAGCAAGGCGTAGCTTTCGAATAAAATAAACTTCCTAATCCGAACAATATTCAAACGCTAGTTCATTATTATATTTTCGTACCTTATATGCAAATAAATAATGAATCACTCATTTTTCTTTCCCCCGACACAAATATCACGAAGTTACTCAAAATATCTATTGAATTATGTATAATAATATGTAATATGTGTATAATACAATATGAGAAGTATACTTACCTAATAATTCATTAAAATTAATAGTTTAATGATTATAATTTGAACATTGATGATAAAACTAGTAAAAATAGCAATAAAAATTATAATATAGATATAGATTATAGGTACTAATTTAGATTGGTTAATGGTTATTACTTTTATTACTTATGAATTTATGAGGAATAAAACATTACACATCCAAGTAAATTAAGTTCATCATATTCCACTTTATAGTCTGAGTAGTTGCAGATAAAAAGTATAAGAAGTATATAAGAATTACAATATAGTTTATAAAATACAGTACTGCAGATAATAATATTATATTATATACCTATTTAAAAAGAAAACACAGTATAGTATACAGAACTACTCCCCAAGCATTATCGGCCTAATTTTCTCTTTAAAAAATCAATGAATTCAAACTACGATTTTTTTGTCAAGTATACATGACTTATATTCCTACCCACTAATAGTATAATCTCACTATATTATCAGGATACTCCTTAAATGGTATAAAAAAATCTAAATAATCAAAAAATATTATGTTCAATTTACTTAAAAATTGAAATAAATACAATTCAAAATAAATAAATTTATTTAAAAAAAAATGTTTGTATAAGTATGCTTGGTAAATCACCTGTACAGTTTTATTTTAACACTGTGTATCGTCTATGTGTGAGTGGATGATGAGACAAATATATTTATTAAAAAGCGGATAAGTGGATGTCCCTCTGCTGTACATTAGGTGTCTAGAAGGTCGCTGTAATGGATGGTATTAAATTTGAATTCAATGATATTTTATCATTGTATACGAAAAACCATTCTGAGCGGTGGCGGTATGTCAGTCTAGGATAGATATTACACATTTTTATTACTTATTAATGTTATTATAGTCGCCAATAAGTTGATTTCACCTTTAGTGACGCTCGAGGTATCGGACCACGTACTTGCGCGCTCTGGGTAATTATTTTCCTTTAATAGGTATAAAAATACTTTTTGCTTTGCATTATTAAATTATTTAAGTATATATTAATTAATTTACAAGCATGTCTTACAAATTTTAATTAATTAAAACATTTAATAACCTGTGTTATATCTATAAATACATACATTTTATTTCTTTAATATTTAAAAATATTAAAAGTATGAATCCTCAAAGCAGCTAGAGCAAGTCTCTATAATGTGGTCTCTGCGATGAGTCTTGCGCAATTTGTGCATACTTTTGTAGCTTTGCGATCTTCTCAGCGGTCACAAGAAGTACATCTTCCAGAAGATAGTACTCGTTGTATTTCCCCTACGTTAGGTCTTGCTATGTTGCAGTATTCATTTAGTCTTATTTTTATTTGTTTTGGCAAACAATCCAGTGTCAAATAATATTCCATTTATTCTTGCATTAGTTGACAAACTAATGTCTTCAAAAATAGAAATTTTGTTTTTATTGAAGCGTATATTCTTGGAAAATTATTTGTGCCCACCGATGTTTAGCATATCGAATAAATAATAAATCCGGAGTTATATTTTCACTATTGTGACGTTTCTATGTATTCACACGATTGAGAGGTTTACTCGAGTTCTCGGAAATGGGGAATTAAAAAAACATGATTATTTACAACTTGAAAATGTGCTTTCAAAACAAGAGATATTACTTGTTTAGTATATTATTTAAGTAAACCCTAACGATATTATTGGTGCGAGAGGAAGGACGATTCATACAGGTAATATAAATAATTATGTTATATCATTAAACATATTGTATTCACTACATTATAATATGGCGATCAATAGACGAGTATACTTAATAATATTTAAGCTGTTTGCGACTTAGACTTTGGGAATCGCACACGTTATTTATTAAATGATATTATACGAAAAGCACACAATATGCAATTATTGTAATATTAAATTATTAAATTGTAATATTATTATTATTGTAATATAATACTGTCAGAATAGTTTATTTTTTTGCTATTTAAAATATTTAATTATACAGTGAGTAGTTTTATTTTATTTACATTAAGTTTAAGTAATGTAGTGACTTATGTAGAATTCTGGTCTTGGAGAAAGAATCCATTCATTGATGGAACTTCCGGTGGTGGAGAGTGTGCTCCCTAAATTGTCAAAATATGTTTAGTAATATATTATTATATTACAGTGTGTTATATAAATAGCAAACAGTACCAAATTTTAGTGGCTTAGTCACTTGTGAAAACGAAACGATACACTATTCCTTATGGATATTTTTTTTATTCGAACTGAATTTATCGAGAAATAGACTAAGTATAATACACGATGAATGAAAAAGGTGTGTGAATATCTTATACATGAGAAAATCGTGATCATCACTCGCTTAAATAGGACATAATATTATTAAAACTGCCAGTTTAATTATTTATATAATTTGAATTAAAATTAACATTCGTTCAAAACAATATTATTACGAATTGCGATAAAATAATGGTGATAATACAATAAAATATAAATACGTATTATAGGTATGAATTAGGTACGAATTAGGTTACGAAGTAAGAACTATATAGTCTTAAACGTGAGTAATTTTCTTAAAACCTAACTAATTAACTTCAGTATAATTGTGGGAAATTCAAAAAAGACAAATACAAATTGAATTCAATCTTTTCAATAAATCATCCTCAGAAAAGTGAGTAGTTATAAATAACCCTAGATGTATAGAAACCATAACAGTAAAATAAAAAATAAATAAAAAATATAGATTTTGTATTGTTAATAAAAAAAAAAGTCTCAGATGAAAAGACATTTGCAGGTTGGTCGAACAAATCAATTTCTAATTCTTTAATACTTTTATATGGATTTCATAGTTACATTACATTATTGGTGTTACTATTGTTACTACAACTGAAATAAAATAAGTTATTAGACCGTTCAGTACTATACGGTTAAGAATGAAAATTGAAACATCACTTGAGAAATCAAGATAGCCAATAAGAGCTCATTGCTCAATATCTTTTTTTTTTTTTTTTTTAACATATATTTACANTTTTTTATTTTAACATATATTTACAATCTATTTTACAATAATCAGTAAGTATGATGACAAAGTTTATATGACATTATGAAATATTCGAATAGGAAGACCCTCAGTAGTGTCACCTGACCAGAGATGCTCAATATCTCCAGCCAAAAGCTTAAGTATGAAATATAAGTCTGTGCACGTAAACGATGGTGTTCTAATGTTCTGAGATTAATAATGGGGATCTAAGATGTTTCGGCGCGGATATTTCGACATTACGACATTTCGTTTTATTTTGGACATACGTGGAGGGTACGAAAAGTGAAAATCCATAGGTATGGATCATTTAGATAGAATTTAGTGAAAAAGTACGTTTTTGACGCAGATCATATATTGATCCTAACCAGACAGGTAATTAATTCGTTAATTGACGCCTAGACGCTGCAGTGAAAATGTATCGTTGATATTTTATCATGGGAAGAAAATAAAAAACTCGTATTTTTTACTTACAATTTACAGAATAAAATATTATATAATATTTAACAAATACAAACACGCCGAAAGATCAATATTGTTTTCAAATATTGAGTCATACATAGTCTTATATGAGTTTATATACTATGTCACACTAAATAATTTATTTAATAATAGTTACAAATGAGTTTCTCCCATTTAATTAATTAAATTAAATTATATTATATTATGATGTTTTATCAGTACTTAGTAATACCACCTATTTCTGGCTATATCATTTATATAATTTAAACCTTTAGAAATATGTCCGTATTTACAAAACGTCTCCAAATTTAAAAATATTTATTGAAAATCGGTGTCTTGGTTGATTTAAAGGGTGTTACATTAAAAAACTTGTAAACTTTTTTCATACATAAATTTTAATGTTTTGACATTCATAGCAAACCTGGTTAAGGTTGCTTTAATGAAACTGCTAGTTTTCATTAAAAATTAATGTACACAATTCAATATTTCATTTGTGATTTGTCTCCTGAGCCGATTTTCGTCGAGTTTTCGACGACAATTATTTATATTCAATGCTTTTTTTTTTAATCCAATAGTTTGCATCTATGCACCTAGCACCTACATATATATATATATATATAAATATAAACTACCTACTATAATGTATGCATTTTAAGTTAGTTACCTTAAACGTGTTGCAGTACGTGCAGTGGGTATATCTCTGTTATAGACTCGTGGCTCAGTTTTTCCCATCATCCGCATTTACCTATATAGATACATTTAATATCATACAATTATTTTATTTTATACATATTCAATTTTTGTACATAAAACATTTCATGTGGTCAAATTTGAGATACAATTGAATAAAGTTGAAATTACTACCTATTAAATAAATTGGTGCAACTATAATAGTTTAACTAATTAATTTTAGTACTCTCAACTAAACACATAATTCGATTCAAATAAATAAACCGATGCGCCAACTGAAAATTATCCAAGTATTTACTTTGGCCAATTTTATTTTTGGTGTATAAAGTGTATATTTTATTTTAATGCATCGTTTGTCTGTTTTGAGTACCTGCACAAAAAATTATTTTTTAAAATAGATAGTTGAACGTCGATCTAAACACAGCTCAATCGTCACCACTCCCCCCCCCCCATCTCAAGAACTATTTAAAAAATACGTGTAACGCACAATTGTATGAATACATATAATTAGACGCAGCAAAGTCATCATCATCATGTAACGCGAGTGCACGAAATATTATCAAACCAGCTTATTATATTTCATTTATCGAGAGATTACTTGTTTCCCCTTAGATTAACTTAACGTTTTCGTCAGCAATCGAACTAAGCAATATTTATTTTTTTTCTAACTCGACAAACGGAGTCAATATTCATCATCTTTCCCGAGCAGTTTCGAAAATATCGCGTTCGTACCTATAATCATCATGGTGACGAGAATATACGGTTAGGGGTTAGCGAGGTCCTCGTGGAGGTCGACGACGGCGACAAAAATATACCTACATAAATATAGTGTACATAATGCGTACATCGTGTACGACGCACACGCACACAAATATAATAATAATTTTGCATGCACACAGACCCCCACAGACGAATATCTTTCGGCTAGTGTATCGATTGGTCTGAATAATGCATTGGTGACCCGGAAAACGTGGGCAACTGGCGAGCTGCGGAAGACCAAAAGTCGGCGGCGTGGAGATTTTCCGATGTGTAAAATATATAATAACAAACGCCATACTGCGAAAACGCTGAATGGCTGAATGACCGATTGTTGTCGGGTATTTATAGCGTTTTCACAGAGGTGGCATTCGAAGAAACATACACTTCATGATCTGCTCGCATGACTATATATGATTAATTATTATGAAATTATATTTTATTATACATATTTTATAAAACACGAGGCGATCCTAATTAAAAAACGATGGGCAAACAAATTTTCTCGGTTCGTTTTTGCGTGGTTTCGAAAGAAAATAATGGTGTTTGTATAGTTTTTAAAATATCTAAAATATTCAAAAACTCAGTGGAACGGGGTGCTTTTGTGCGCCTGGACATCTCGACCCTTGAACAATTGAAAATATTTAATCATTTTTAAAATTAAAACAAAAATCAAGGGGAACCGTTGTAATATATGCACCACTGGCGATGGCGATCATCATCTTTGAAAAAATCCTGGTTGAGCCACTGCAGAGTGCAGACATTTTAATAAACAACTTAATTTAGAATTATTTACACGCGATAGTGTTAAAAAAAAACTTATGACGCTTATGAAATTACGTTTACTGTGTATTCAAAAAATTAAAAATGTAAATCACATCAATGCGCCTACTTTGTGAAAATTCTGTAAAAATGAATAAAGTTAAAAATGGATTAATATAATTATTTTTATAGTGTTGCCTGCGTTAAATAAATCACCTCGCACATCCGACACGCGGCCGAAGAGCAGTAATAATAATACATTGTATCTACACATATAAGTGTATTATATGGCGAACAGAAAGTGGTAAAAAAACGGATTTTCTGTAGCGCATTATAGTTAACGTCCGTTGTGCGTGCACGCATATAATAATAATAATCAAATAAAATATATTGTCTTCGTATTGTGCTGCGCGTGAGCTAACTTGATTTTATGTTATACATTTTTTTCGTTTCGAGCGTATTATATATGATGGGGATAGAAACAAACTAACATGACAACACGAAAATTGCAACTACTTAAAGGTACCTAACGCGCCTGCGTTCAATGTGATATATTTTTATAATCGAGTACGTTAGTTGTCCTCGATCGTCTCGGGATGGCTTTTATAGAGTGTGGTGCAAATATCGTGGAGTATTGGAAAAAAGTGAAAATCAAATCAATTGTTGTTCAAAACATAGTGCAATATTATTTTGCAGCTCAGAAATACCTGAATTATTTATTTGATTTTCGGGTGTTCTAACACCGGAATCATCAAAAAATTCAAAAGAATACGTTTATAATATGCGTTAATAATCACAGTTATTATCCGGGCGTTTAGAAGTTCAGCAAAAACCAAACAAAAAATTAAAACAATGATCATATTCGTGACGTAAATATATTACATTAGGTATCGTATATCACAAGAAATAAATTTCTCGGATATAATAAAAATAACCCCCCCCCCCCATCATAGGGGTGAGCATAATTGCCTCTATGTTGTTACATAGAATATTCTGGAACCCCATACAATAATAATACGTACCTAAGCATAACAATTCTAATCTACCATATTTTAAACGTAATTTGATATACACACGAGAACTAATATTATTATAATGCCTTGGGATATAAGAGGATAACGTCCGTCGAGTTGACGACACAAAAAAAAAATTTTATAAAACGACAGAATCGGTTCGCCCACGTCGTAATTGGATACGTCTCGGTTTTCGATACGTGCCTCCGTCGTGATGTTGTTTGAGCTAAGTGCAGATGATTTCATGGAAAATTATAAGATATCGAACGAATGTATATTAATACCTAAACGCATTTATATTTGTAATAATACAATATTTATTAATATATTATTATAAGTTATGTATAGTTGGTACGTTTTCTATTTTTCGTCTGATAACGATTCGTCGTACTGCAGCAGCGCGACTTCTCGTTTTACTTGGAACCAAATCGTCGTTTTCCATCCAAAATCAGGCCAGTTTACTGAACGTTTCGGATTATCGGACGAGTCTTACCGAGTTCGTATTACCGTGGTACACGTTTCGTATATTATTATTAAAATATTATAAATTTATGTTTATACGAATACGCTTGCACGGGCTGAAAGAAACCAATCACAGGCCTGTGCCAACTTTTTTGCTTCTCTTCGTATTATTCCTTTTCACCTCCTCGAGTAGTACACATAATATCATAATATTAATATCAAGTAATGCATAATATTATTTTATTATTACTACGCATTGTGCATGCGTAAAACAAATAAATTACGAAAAATCGGAGACACGAGCACACGGAACATAATATTACGCTACATAAATTAAGCCGGGTGAATATTTTTCAACAATCGTTAACACTCATGAAATCTACAGAAGATATACTATAAGAAATTAATTTTTGCAAAATGGAGTGCATTATGTGTTAACCTCGTATGTGAGATGACTTTAATATTTTAATTATTATTTTACCTATAGTCGGACATCGTATTTCGTTATACCGAACAAAAAATTGACAACGAGGAAAGAGAAAGAATATATTTTTTTTTCATATTTAATGTATAAGAAGAAAGAGAGGCGTTTTTTATTGTGTTCCAATCCGATCATGTACCTACGTATACATCGTTCATAATATTATAATATCACAATAGTAAGTACCTACTACCTACCTACCAGCTTATACGAAATCGGTTGAATATTTAATCGAACTTTTTCTAATTCATTGAGAGTGGAATGTGTATCGTCATCGAACGATCACATCACTGTATACCTAGCATACTTTAAATTGAGTTACACTAAAATATATTATTTATTACTTTAGTTTTAAAATACCATTCATTTGCGACTAATCCAACGAACAAGGTTTACTGTAGTATATTATATCAGTAACAATAATAATAATAATATGTCTTCGAAAACACCGTCTACAATAATAATAATAATAATAATAATAATAATAATTTCGTCTAAACTTGAGCGTCAGGAAAACCTATTTGAGTGTTCGGGTATACGTTAAGAATTTATCCAAGGACATTATAAAAAGTCGTATACTTTTGCAGTACAAACAAAATATATAGCAGCTTTGTGATCGCGGGCTGTTACAGGAATTGTGTGGGACGTCAACTCGATTGTCGACTCGATAAATATTAGGTTAGTATTTTCCCCATTTTTGATCTGTGTAAGACACACAACTACAGTCTGCGGCGCCCACGTTTTTAAATTTGATTTCCTTTAAAACCGTGATAAAAACAAAATTAAAAAATCAAATAATAATTATAAAATAAACTCTATACACAGGATTTTTAAACATTTTTACATAACAGCGCGTTGATACGTTTTTGAAGAAAAAAACGCTCGACGCATGTTGTAAGATCGTGTTGTACAATAAAGCAGAACGGCGTCCTGGAAATTAATTAAAATAATTTTTAAAAAAAAAATCATTAAATTTTGTTGATTCTGTGAGACACGGACGGGATATTATGAAGTGTGTTTTTGTGCAAAAATGACATCGGCAACGCGGTCGCTTTATCACCACGGTTCGTTATTATTATTAAAACCAGTAACCATATACATATACCCAGGTATATGTGTGTGTATGTAAAATGTATATTATGATTATTATACTTCATGTAATACGCGAGAGCCATATTCAGGTATATGCAATTTACACACACGATATACAAGGCGGTAGGTATATTATAATATTATTGCTGACATTTCTCACAACTCGTAAGGCGTATATTCGGGAAGACAATAAAAGCTGTTTCCGTGTATAATTTACGATAATAATATTATACTAATACTATTAACAGTTTAATATTAACATGTAAGTATTGAGGGTACGAAGTAGTCGTATGTGATAGGCTGATAAGAACAATTTCAAACTTCAAACCCATAAAAAGAGAGAAAAAAACTATTTATAATTATATGTTATACTAGTATTATTTTTATAATATAAATAAATTGCTTTGAGAATCACATAGGTGGTAATATGAGGAATCCCTGTGTTCAAATGTTCAATGGTCATGATATTGTCAACATTTTTCTTACCAAATAACATAACCGTCAACGACATTAATCGGAGACATTTTCAAAAAAATTCGACAATTCCTGAAATATCTCCGGTAAATTGCTAACATACTAGCCAAAATGCCCGTTTGAATTACAACAAAAAACAAAATCGATATGATCAAAAAACAATAGTCAACTTAATAAATCTTTACATACCTTATTGGTTATTACTTATAGTATTATGGAAGTTTGATTGCACAAATTTTCAGAAGCTCTACAAATGACCCGGATCATTGTACGACCAATAAATTCCGTCTCGTCCAACTCAAAATCTTGAGGACCACTATGATTTGTGAAAATGATATAATATTATGCACGTATTTGGTCCACCTTATTGATGTTATCGACGTCTCCATACCGATGGCGACCGACACGACATTGCAATAATTAATATAGTCGAAAACCATATCTTAAGAAATCTAAAACTGCACTCGCATTGTTATTACCATAGGGCATAGACTTATAGACCTTATACTACAAGGCAAGAACTGTGTAAAACAACATCTCGCAGTGATGTAGGTCGTCTTGACAAAAAAATACAGTGATGTAGCCTGCCTTGATGAAAAAGTACAATAATCTGTAAATCTATACATATTAATATACTATCCCGCATTACCACACGTCATATTGAGTAAACGAGTAAACAAAAGGCGACCTCTATGTTGTTATGCTGTCCATACACTCATATTGTTTGTCTAGTACACGATGTAGAGAAGATAAGGTGACACCACTTGTAATATTCCGGTCGCAAATTTTCCCGACAGTTTGGTAGTACAAATGTCTCGTGCAGGTAGCGCCACTATTCGCTAACTTCAAAATTTAAAATATTGACCAGGTAAGAATTATTTTTAAGTAATTATTCTATTCAATCAGGTAACATTTAAAATAGTTTAAATTAAGGAAGTTTTATTATATATTTATATAATTATTATATTTTAACAACTTAAGGTACACGGTTATATGAGTTTAGACTCCTTCACTAAATTTTTTTGTCTTTTATTTTTTTCTCGATTGGCGTTCTCTGCATCACATACAAAATACATTTTGTACTGTGAATAAAATGTTATAATATTTTTGGTTAACGCATTTGCATATACATCACACCCGATTAATTTTATATTAAATTTGTTAAATAGTTTACCTACCTTATTAAGCACATACAAATGTATATCATTAATAATGCTCTTTTGGAGGTACTAAGGAGGTAAAGAAAATGGTACAAATGTTTCCCTCAAATAAATCTCTATAGTAGGTATTTAAAAATTATGACTCACCTTTGGTGCAAATAGGTGGTTTTTTATTTTCTACTTTTAACTTTTTGTTATAACTGGCATAGCCAGTTTTACATCCTGGCACAAAACATTTGTTATGCATTTTTTAACAAATTAAGAAAGTACATAGGTATAAAATATTATTTAACAATCTACAAACCATTAAATGAGTCTTAAGACTTGTGTAAATACAAACAATACGGTAAATTAAAATTAAATATAGAATATTATCAATTTATAAGTATTATTATTAGGTTTATTTTATTATTTTAACTGATGATATAAATTCTATTCTCTATTGTAGATATTATATCTTCTCTACATCATGCTTAATATTACATTTTTTTTGTTATTATATATCACATAGGTACCTATATAACTTTAATGAACAGTTTAAACTCGTACCTTATAATTATCGTACTTAGATATTACTAATTCCATTTTTGTACATATATGTGTCAATGAATAAATAAACATACAAATATCATACAATAAATATGCATTTTATTTAAATCAATAAATTTGTACGATATGGCTACATACCATATAATATTAATGCAATTTTTACATGCTAATTGGTACATGATTCTAAAACATTAGTTTATTTTAAACCAACTGCTAATGCATGTAGTGCGTAGGTTATTAATAAGTTATTATATATTAATTGTCAGCCAACTCACTAACTCAGCCAGGATCCAGTTGCTTATTCATATGATCCTATTGGATATTCTTTACGGCCTTCTACAGTGCTGCATAATATGTATACATTAGGTAATAGCTTAGGAGTTAGGAACATAATTCATAAATAGATTGTTGGGGTACCCACGGACCCCCACGACCCAACCCACCGAAAAAAAGGGGAGGCGGTCGCCCCTCTTGGGGTATAGTTTCAGCGCCACTGCCATCGAAAGATACGGGAGTGGTGCCGCGGTGTCACCTTATCTTCTCTACATAGTAGTAGTAGTAGTTATATAAGTTGGTCTATGATTATTTCGACGGCGACGACGGCCGTTACCACGGTTACGGTTTGGAGATCGAGCATTGCGTATTCGCGTACACGATATCGGAAACTCTGGCAATATTACACCTATGGGCAAACGCGTAGTCCGTCAGGCCTCGCCGTTAAACGCGCCCCGAACCAGCTGTTCCGCATGAAGTTGCAACGGTGCGCCCTAAGGTTACGCTATGGCTTATTATTGTTTACCGCGGTATAATAATAAACGCATGTATAAAATATTGTTCAACCGAGTGCAAGGCGTGTGTCACGTCGAGTTGTTGTGTGCTTTCGTGACGCGAACGCGGTATAAGATCTAGCCATGTAGGTATACGATATTGCAATAACTCAAAACGCAGGATTGAAATTTATGATGATAATTATTAACGTTACTGTTCGTTAACGTGGTACCTCATACTCACATAATATTATACCTAGGTACTTTAAATAAACGTTAAGCGGTTCGAGAAGTAATATTATGAAAAACTGATACATTTTCCTGTTATTAAAATTCGTGTTCACCGCGTTTTCAACATACATCATCACGTCATTTCGCCCTCCACTTGAATAATACTCGTCGTCATCACGTAGAAAATGGAAATATTTAACATTTACTCATAAATTATTAGTATTACTAATGATTATCAGTAAGTAAAAAATTCTACCGCGTATTATCATCGTCTCGTACGACTGTTATATATACGAAATTTTACGTCTCGTGAATCGGTGACTATGATGGGCAACAAAAAGACTTAATTTATTTCGAATCCATCAAAACCACACAAATACCGCGAAAACATACAAATTCAAAAGACGTATAAACTGATGCCTGCTGGTATCTATACATAGGTGTTCATGTATAATAACATAATGTGAATTCTATACGAATTACAAAATAACGTTATATTACATAATATTATAGGGAGTTCAAATTTAAGTTTATTTTCAGTACTGCGCTGATGATAAAACCATTTAAAGTATTATTTTCCTCCGTGTTTTTAACATTATGGTTTTACAATAACTTTTGTGTTTTGTTTTATATTTAATTAAATTTGATTTTCATATTCTGTAATTATAGGTTTTTGACTAGAAGGCCAAATGTTATTTACGGTGCACTTCTATAAATCGGAATGTATTGGTATACTGGACACGCATGCAACACATCGAGGAGGTAATTTTTTGAATTAGGTACTCTGTGGATTAAAAATTAAATTCAAAGAATTGCGCAAAGACGGCGAGCATGGCCGTCTTCAACCAATCCTTGACCGTTTTCGTGTTAACCCTCCACTAAGAATGTTTTTCGCGTGCAATGATTGAATGATTTATCATTACTTTAAAATTTAAAATGCTAATAAATAAAGCACTTTCCACTCGGCTTGTTTCGTTGTCAGAGAATACATTAGGCAATATCTTGGTGTTCTGTCCACGCTGGGGGATTTTTTTTTTAAGTCAATCAAAATAATAATATACTAAATATCTACCTATTATTATTATTACTAAAATTAAAATATAATTAATTACCATCGCACAATAATGATTCGTGTTAGTACAAGCTTCCACTTTTATAACTTGAATCGCGTACGATGATAAAAAGACATTATTTAAGAACTTAAATAATGCCTCGCGCTTTATGCGTTTTCAATACTGACTTGTTTATTTTAACATACTCACGAATCTTTAAAATCATAGAAGTTTTAACGAAACTTCAGATAAAAAAATCAAATCATAATGTTTGCTATAGTTTTGTTTGAAATATATTATACATTTTAACTTTTACACATTCGACCATTTCTGAAGCAGTATAGTGATGTTTAATCGAGTAAGTTTAATAAAAATTAACTACTAAATATTTAATAAGAAAAGTTTGATATAATTAAATCACCAACACATTTGTTGTGTGCAATCGTTAAGTACATAATTAAACGAGGAAAATGTTTGATAACTTTATTACGGTTTTAATAAATGTACATGGTTTTCTGCTGTGGCTTGTTAAACGCGAACGTCAGTTTGGCGACTTGCCGATCGCATAAATCTTGGACACGCGTACGAAGAAAAAAGAAATAATATATAATAAATTGTACTTGTTCCAAGATGAATTAATCTAAAACTATATGTGTCCGTGTCTTAGAACTGCATATACCCGCAGGGTTGTCGATGTTTGGTGGTTTAAAGTATTAAAAACGACCGTCCTTGTAAAATATGTTTATTATTTTATTCGTCTACTAAAAATCATACCACCACAATGACAATTTTATACATTTTATTTTTTGTTAATATTTATAAAATACATTTGGTTTTTAAAGATATTTTTGTATGATGCAATATCCAGTGTGTATAATTTTTTTTATGGTTCAGTCGGGTCAACTCTAACAATATATAAATATTCTCGATTTTTCGACACCAATAAAATGCTTTTCAAACTGTCACAACATACATTTTTATGTTTTTCTTTAACACAAAATTATTCTGATATATTTTGTGATTTCAAACTCAAAAGTTAAATCCGAATTGTTATTTTTAGATGCCTTCATATAATATAAAAACATATAACATTGAACCTTAAGACTTAAACGACACGTAACGTGTTAATGATACATTTTTTATTTTTAAATAACCGCAATACGACGTTCTTTATCGTGTCTCATGAATCTAAATAAATAGTTTATTGGTTTTTTTCCATCGTGAAAAATGACAAAGTACCTTTATTTAAAATTTATTTTTCGTTTCACTATTACAACTAATCTTAAAATAAGCTTACAACCTAGACTTATTTACGGTAGAATGAGTTAAGTGGACTGTTCAAGTCTCTAAATATAAATAGGTTTACTCCTACTATCGGAGGATGCTATGAAATATAAATACGATCAGACATGGGACGGGAGGAAAGGAGATTCGTTTCTATTATGGTTTTGTCTTAATCTATTTCATTATTGGTACAGCCATTTTAATTTTATTATATGTTGTTATTTTACTGTATTACAATTGATATAAAAAAAAACATTCGATTATAGACATGGCATAATAGGATAAACGCTGATAACTACAGAGTATTCCTATTTTCTGCACATTTTCACCTTTTTTCAATATGATCTAAATTCTTACATTATCTAACGCTAGTACATATGTTAGTCAGACTCTAAAGAAGGTAAGTTGATGACGGGGTTGCTATATTATTTAAGTAAA